TAAATTTTCAGATTTATTTAAAAAACATCTAAGTGAAATTAATGTTACTAAATATGTTGTGCAACTTACGCACTTTTCTTTTAATTTCAAATGTCCAACATATTAGTAGTTCTTAATTCCTTTTACAGTTTATCTCAATTAATATTTGTTACACCACGAACGAAGCGCATAACATACCTGAAATTTGCACAGAAAGGTAAACATGCTTTCATAGGCAAACATTCAGCATTTCACGGGATACTCACATTACAAACGAGAATAATGACATCTCAAATCAGCTTAAAACGCCTGACTGAAATGCCGACTTTTCTTTCGGAAATCGTGTTTATTCCTTGTCTTTTGTATATCTCGCGTAAGGAAAAAGAATAAAATCATTAGGTTCTTATCGGAGCAGAAACATGAAAAATAAGCGATGCCCTCACCTGGAATCCAGCTTCGGACCTTCTGATGCTAGCCGGGTGTGCTTTCCAGATACAACTTGAAGTCATACGGTAAATAAGGAACTCATACCAGCACGTTTCTGAATTCGATTGCGGGAGAATTGCAGCCTATTTGTACTGGAGAGGTGGGAACCCTAATCATCACAATAAAGTAGCAATATTTCAAAGCAGTAATATTCAAATTACTAGATTCGCTACTGAGAACTATTATCTTGACTCTTCGTCATTGCAAAAATTTCTGAGAGTCATATATACTTCTAAGATATTTTCTTATGTTTTTCAGTTCTTTTAAAAGCACTCAGAAAACGTTTCATTAGATTGTATCGCATTTCTATAAATTTTGTCAATAGTTATTAGCATATGTTATAAAAACCATCAAGATCTGCTCGAATTGTTTGATTAATTTGCGTGTATACGCTTCTAACCTATGGATATGGAAAAAAAATAAGGATAGATATGATTAAGAGAGAACGCTTCCTGTTGTACTAATGAACTTAAAGAGTAGGCAACTTATACGAAGGCGTATGTAATCAAAACATATTCCCGGAAACGAAGCATAGCAGGCAAAAAGTTTCTGGTATGAGATTTATTAATAAAAAAAATATGTTTTTGATGCGTGTAACCAACGTTAAGTAGGTCAGTAGCTGTATTTGTAAAAGGCGCGAAATAAGAGCAGCCGTTGATCATAGTACCCTCAGTCATTACCCCCCCCCCGCGCTTTCTGCTTCGTGAAGGCATCTTCGCCAACGGAGGGGCTTTTCTATCGCCTGTAATTTATCACTGACATCTCATCAGCCTGTCCAGTGAACGCTAAAAAGCATGTGTATCGCCATGATAGCACCTCTAATCGAGCATCTATCTATCTATATACGACCTACAAGGTTACTTTAATTAAATCAAACAGTATTTATCGGCATTCTGTCATTGATAGCTTATTGGAAGCAACTCAAGAGTAAGTTACTCCCGGTGTTTTGGTTGTGTGATACTCAAGTCATTATATTCCACATTTTTCTTGAAACCACGTGCAGTAATGATATTAAGAATTAACATCGAAGTTTCTTATCTCAAATGCTTTCCCTGCTATCTTATCTATTTAAATAGCTCATTTAGAAGCCTTGGTTGACATGTAAACACATTCAGTTTATTTCATCTTGTACTTGATTTGTTATCAAATTGCTTACATTAAAAATATAGAGTTAACTGCAAGAAGTAACGGTTATATGACACTTTGTCGTCATAAGTTAATAGACAGACATAATAATAAACTGAACTAATTTTAAAATGCCAATCTTTTAATAATCTGCGAAACATGTCAACGAAAGAAAATGATTTAAATAAAAATTATGTTCTAAATTCCCTTAATTTCTAAAGGGGGTTTGTTTCATTTTGCACTACATTTACGTTCAAGTAATATGTTAGTAACTTCAAGCTATAGATAAGAGATTCTGCTTAACTAAATGTCTACTTAAAAGGATTAAGTAAAAAATTGCAACTATACCAATCTGAAGCAAGTTACGCTTAAAAAATATAGTAATTACAGGCAATCCATTGTCAATATAGGCAATGAATCAGATTCCAGGTATAGACTGGGTCTCGTTTTCTCTCCGCAGTCGGGAAAGAAATGTAAGGTAATAGAACTATTGCTCCCTTGTTTCTTCTTGCTGTAATTATCAGTGCATACAATTAGCAATTAGTTGATGGTTCAGAATTTTCCAAAACTTTCTCTGCTCTGAAAAAGCTAATTAATAATTATAAACTTTATAGCAGTGTTACGAGAAGGAAAAAAATCAGATTATATCAGCTCATTAATGGCTGATATGGCGATGAGAAGAGCTACTTTGATTCACTCCTGAAGTACGTTTTAAGACATCGCAAGATACAATAAGATACAGTAAACAAACGAAAAGCATATGATTTAGGTATCATATTGTGCTATAAATAACAGCATTACATTACTTGCATTCAAGTATTACGAAGGAAATAACGGAAAATTTCATAAAAAATTACAATACAGAATGTTCTCAAATTTTTTCAGTATAGAAAAATGATCCGTAATCGGCAAACAGTAAGCATAAACATGTTGTGATTATACATTTGAACATAAAAAAAGCAGTGAAATAGTAGACATATATTCTTACAAAAATTAGCCTTATTTTTAGCTAAAACGTTTCCCCGACAAATACCATAAGATTTTGTAGCATTGTGATTTGTACTCTACTCAGCAGAAAGCTTAAACGCTTTGAGTTTCTTAAAATATTAACGTTGCTTTTTTATACAGGTTATGGACAGGAACGTTAAATACAGATGCTGATGAGTTTCTATGTTATACTTTAAGCTGTTGTAATTCTATGGATTATCCAAAGCAAAATCGTTTTGGAAAATTATAAATTATCAGAGTTCATATGAATCCTTTTTTTTTTTTTTTTTTTTAAATATAGAAAAGGATGTTTTATCTGTTGGTAACTATTGACAACAGGGTCGCAAAGGGCTCTGAAGACGACGTTCATACACAGCATCATAAAAACCTGCTTTCAGTAAAATGCTGGTGACCATACACAATACACTGAAAAACAGTTTTTTACATTTTTATGTAACAAAATGGCAATGCTTTTATTTAAAAATTCAGTTGATTTACAGTATTTTTGATAGAAAGGTTTTTTTAGAGGGGAGGGGGAATAATAAGAAGATATTTACAAAAATAAATTAGTAGTTTTATTGAAAGACAGAATTAAAACCTACATGAATTCAGTAAAATATTTTGTAGCAAAAATGAAAAAAAAAAAAAAAAGTTAGGAATCACTAAAAAGAACTGTAACGTAAAATTAAGGAAACCAAATTAAGAATTTCGCTATATTCATATGCAGTATACCATACTGAGGATATTATATCTAAATATAGTGAGTGAGATAATAATCGCAGGATCACACAGGATAGTTGAAATTTTGCAGGAATTTTTATTTCAATAAGAGATAGAAACGTTTTATAGAGACGGAAAAAGACATCTACAATACACCTTTAGACATATTTCTTTAGATTAGTCTCTATTCCGTTATCACCCATCAAAAATTTAAGATAGAAAAATGTGATGTATTTTGTCTTTACAAAATTAATGTAATACGCATTCACATGAAACTGACGAACTTTTCTCCCAAACTTTACCTAAAAATTCCCAAGTAGCTAAAAATTCGTTCATAGTGAGGTACTGATAGGAATTAGTTTGAAAAGAAGAATGATAAGTATTTTCATTTCAAACAACAAAGTGCTCAACACGAAGACTAACTCAGTTAAATTATACGCGGTTGTTGAGAACGAGAAAAGCAACACAGAATGATATGCCAAAACAAACGGGAGTGACGGATGATAGTAATGAAAACTAGTACTGTTAACGAGAACAACAAAAATAATCGCCGCGTTTTGCTCTTCTCGCATCAACATTGAGCATTTTTTGAAATTCTCGATGGTTAAAAATATGAGTTTGAATTAAAATATGCTTTAAAAATACTCAATAAAAGCAAAAACTGATCAGTAAGCTGTAACCAGCATCTGTTCTAGTTTACATATGACCTAGGTACTGAAAAATTTTAAAGCTACTACTTTATTTCTTAATTCTGTAACAAAAATTTTCGGTTCTTATTTTATATTCTGTTGAAAAGTCATCACTGATAAAAAGTTCTTTTAAAAACTTATTAATCTGCAAAGAATTATCTCAGCTATTTCTATGGGTCTCTTTTTTATATTAATAGAAAGTTCACAAAATACTAGAAATAGAGAAGGTTTTTCAGAGCCGAATAGTGAATGTTTTTATGATTTAGGGTCATCGGAAAGCAAATTTCTATTGTTTATTTAGTAATTACATACTGTAATGCAATACGAAGTTTTGGATAATCATTCGCAACAACTAGATTCTTTAACGAATATGAAAATATGTTTAAAATAATGGGGAAACATAAACTGTTTACGATTAACACCTTGAAATAGGTGCATTTTATGAGCTTACATTGAAGAGACATTAGATATTTTTTTGAAGCAGGCAAATGAAAAATATGCAACGCCTTCGCCGGGAATCGAACCACGACCTCTGGAATACGCGCCCAGCGTGCAGGGCACTACACCACGAAGGCATGCTAAGAAGGCGGGAGAAATACCTTATAACATATGTTGTGTGTGTATGCAGTATTAGAGGATCATCTTAACAGTACGCCTTCGTATTATTTACATCAATATATCATTTGTAATAAAGTAACATGGATAGTTTGGCAGTTATTCGTATGCATTACTATGTTTTCCGTTACCCACTTAGATGTTTTGACTTTTTTAGTAGTATTTTATAAATGCAAATACTTTGTTGATAGTCTGATGAAAGAAATTTTGCTCGTGCAATTCCTGTACAACATTTTAAGCAGTTAAATTTTATTTAAAAAAACTGAAATCATCCTCCAATCATATCTTTCTTTAAGAAAAAAAAAAAAAAGTTGTAGATTTTTTATTGTGTATGATGCAGAAAATAATTTTCCGTACGTAAATAATTAATATCCTTATCATGTAATCTTTCTTTTATAGTTAACCGCAGCCAAATATCCTAGCGTCGTTAAAATTGGCCACGCTCATGGTGGAGTGGGAAAACTGAAAGTGGAAAATCATTTTGACTTTCAGGATGTAGCAAGTGTCGTTGCAGTCAGCAAAATGTACTGCATTGTGGAACCATTTATTGATGCCAAGTATGATATTCATGTGCAAAAAATTGGAAATAACTACAAGGCCTTTATGTGAGTACTGTAATGAACCAATCTTTTTAGACTTTAGTTTATTGTCTCATTGTTATTGTTCAACAGTCTTGAACTAAATTTTAGAATTTTGCATATTATTTAAAAATTATTTACAATGAAGATATGTCAATCGTGAACTCTCAAGGTTTATTTTTAAATATAAACTTAAATGTGCTCATCTAAAACTACATAATAATAAAAATTAGTTGCTGAAAGATAGCTGTAGATACACACACAAAAAAAAAAAAAAAAAATGGAAATTATAACGATAATTACCATTTTCCAGAATTTCAAAGTATTGTCTCTCGACTGCCCATAGATCCAATTCGTGGAACTAAAATATAAAATAAGAAATGAATAAGTACAAGCATAATCTTAATTTTTATTTATTTACACATCTGTGAGCTTCTTGGCTTGTATCTGATTTATTGCTTATAGTTGAACAGCATATTTGTTTTAAGTAAATGTTTGTTAACACGTTTAAATGACTTTTGACGAGAATGTATATATTTCTTTTGTTAATACGAAATAATTTAGTACGGCTAAAATACAAGAAATAAAACGTATGGTTTGAAAATGCTGCTAGAATTAAATGAGAATGAGTTTTATATAAGAAGATGCTTCATGCTGGAAATTTGCCCTGTCCAAATTATATATGTTTCACATAACAAATGTTTATTGTGAATCAGATGGTAAAAAAAGGGGTACAGTGAAGAAATGATTAAAGCAATAATATATTATATCACAGCTACGTAATCTGGATTAAATAAATGCACCACTTTGAGAACTGTAAAAAACTGTGGTATGCATATTAAACATAGCAAGTTAACTGTGTATAAACCATTAGGCATTTCATTTCGGAGTAGGAGATGTGAAAAAAGTGCAATGAAGAACTCGAACTCCGGACCATCTGATCGTTAGCTATACGTTCTTTGCGGTTCTACCACGAAGACACGTAGTAAGGAAGAAGAAAAACTTTACAACTGTAGAAACTTTTGCTTTTAGATAAACATACATAAGGTAGCTAATAAGCAATTAATAACCTATCTAGAACATAAAGAATTGTTGATTTTATTTTGTAGATTGCAAATTAGTTGAAATGGAGGTTTTGGGAAAAAATTATATTATTTGCACCAATTACAATATTATAAATTGGGTGCTACTTTGGTAGACGGTTGCACGGATTTTTGGTGATTTACTTTGGCGCAATTGTTGGCGCGGTTTTAAAAATCGTCAGCCATCTTGAAAAACGCCGTTTTTACGTATTTTGCCCATAGTAAAGTATTCGAAACTTTAAAAAGAAATAAATATTGTTAAAAATAATGGATTAATTTTTTGTTGAAAACGTTGTTTTTTAAGATGGCAAGCAAATGTAAATAAATACATTTACTACGAGTATAAAATACTAAATAAGGTTATCACTTTCATATAGCAATGAAATAGAATAAAAACACCGCTATAAAAACATTGCGCCAACGTTTAATTGGATTAAAATATTACTTAAACTGAATATCGAATAAAAAACCATCATACTAACGTTTAAAAGAATTAAAATATTACTTAACTTCAAATACTTTAAAATAAGTAAATAAGAACGCTTCGTACACTAGAGCTAAAATGACAGCAATTAGAAGTTTACTGCCGGTAAAAAAGGAGGAATGTCTAATATTTTTTTTACTGTTACAGCGGTTATTTCTTCCACCGTGAACCACAATACGGCCGTCCTCAGAATCGGCTCTTTTAACGATCTTCATCTGCGATCCACATTTCTCGCACTTCATTGAAGAAGCAATTAGCGAGGTTTCCTCCAAAAATTTAAAATAACTTTCCTCTGACCCTTGTAACAATTTATAAATAAATCTTTGATTAGGAAAGCCAAGTTGGCCAAAATAAGGTCTCAAAGGACAATTTTTTGATTTCGATACCAATAATGCTTGGTACATACTAATAACAACATTAATCTTTGAAAGGGACATATTCGTTCCCTATGAAATCTAAGGAATTCGAAGAGATGAATAATAAAATTTTAAAATAGCGCGGTAATGCACAAGTATTCAGTAACCAATCAGGGAGCTGATTACAGCTCGTTAATGCACAAATATTCTGTAACCAATCAGGGAGCTGATAACATCACGCATAGAATTAAAATTATTTAAATAATCATATATAATAAAATCATTTTTCAAAAAAAATTGTATTTTAACATTTAACAGCCATAAATAATGTTTAAAACATTAGATTAAATTTATAGATATTAAAACCAACTACTTTTAAAGCAAGGTGATGTACAGGGGTTGGACAAAAATATGGAAACACCTTTAAAAAAACATGTTTCTTTGCTTAATATGGTGTAGGAAACCCGTTGGCATCTAAAACAGCTTGCAGTCTTCTCGGAATGGATAAATACAGTTCCTGTATGTTTGCCAAGGGAATATTATACCATTCTTCCTGCAAAACGGTGGCAAGTTCAGATAACGATGTTGGCGGTGGATAACGAAAACGCACTTTCCGTTCCAATGTAGACCACAAAGGTTCGATAATATTCAGGTCTGGTGACTGTGGTGGCCAGGGGAGATGGGACAACTCACCCTCGTGCTCAGAAAACCAGTCCTGGACAATGTGAGCTGTGTGAACAGGGGCTTTGTCGTCTTCGAAGACACCATCACCATCGGGGAACAAAGTTTGTACCATGGGATGAACTTGATCCGCCAAAATATTCACATAAGTCTTGGCAGTCATGTGCCCTGACACAGTTATCATGGGGCTAGCAGAGAACCACGATATGGCTGCCCAAACCATAACAGAACCCCCGCCATGTTTCACTCTTGGCACAAGCAGTCTGTATTATAGGCTTGAGATGGCGTTCTCCAGACGTAAACTCGGCCAGAAGTGGGAAACAATGTGAAAGAAGACTCGTCAGACCATATTACTCGCTTCCGCTGCTCTATAGTCCAGGCTTTATGACTTAAACACCACCTTTTCCTGTTACGGGCATTAGCATCACTAATGAGTGGCTTCTCAATTGCAGCACGGCCAGCAATTCCCTGTTTATGAAGCTCCCTTCTAATTTTTTTGGAATTCACAGGGTTCGGTAACACAACATTCATTTCAGCAGTAACTTTTGCAGCTGTGGTCTTCTTATTTTTCGTCACAATTGCCCTTAATGATCGTCTGTCACGATCACTCAGGACACACTTTCGTCCGCGCTGTGGTTTAGCAGATGATGTTTTTCCGCTTTTCAAATATGCGGAATAAATCTTCGATACAGTACCTCTTGAAACACTAAACACCTCGGCTACCTTGCTTACGAAAGCACCTACCATTCGTGCTCCAATAATTTGCCCACGTTCGAAGTCTGTTAACTCTGACATAATGCAATGACAACCTCACATAACAGTACTCCGAGAACCACTGAACTGTTTAGCACATTTATGAAGTTGTATAGGTGGCGTCAGTAGTCAAAAACGCCAGCGCCACCTACATATTTCATTAAAATCAATCTTTCTTTTCAAACATGCATTTCACAAGGTGTTTCCATATTTTTGTCCATCCACTGTAATTGATTACATCATCCACAACATAAAATTTTTACTTAAAATAAAAACGCAAAATTAAATTGATTTTTAATATTTAACATCCATAAATAATGTTTAAAACATTAAATTGCATTTATAGATATCAAAACCAATTACTTTTAAAGCAAGGTGACGTCACTGATTACATCATCCCCAACATAAAATTATATAAAATATCATAAACAATAAAATTTTTACTTCAAATAAAATCGCAAAATTAAATTGATTTTTAATATTTAGAAGCCATAAATAATATTAAAAACATGGAACTTATGCATAATAAAACGCATTATTTTTTAAATAAAATGACAACAAAGTATCGGTTACCATACATAAGTTGTCCAGCAATGGGTTTACTATAAGTCGTATCGCTCGCCAAAAAAAATCGCGGAAATCCGTGCAACTTTCTACCAAAGTAGCACCATAAATTGCATCAATATTTTTAGTAGCCCATAAAATATTGCAAGCAATTTCGCTCATTTAAATACAAACATACAAACATTATTTAAAAAAAAATGCAAAACCGATGTTAGGACTTATCTCAGTTGTCTGACAGCAGTGTGACAGCAGTTTTGATCATGAATAGAGGCAAGATTTCGCTCCTGCCGTTGGCTAGACCTTGGGTACCAGGATTGATAGATTCGAGGGATTCCCACCCCTCTTTCCCTCCCAACAAACTTTTGGAGAGAACTCTCAGCTCGTTAGTATTTGAAATGCCCCCAAGCCGTAAAGATAATGTATACACCGTATGATTTCCTTGTACGGAATATTAAATTATACGCATTTTTCTTGCATTTCATTTAAACTTATTGGATTGAATTAAATCTAAAATATCGTCTTAAAAAATAAAGTACCTACAAATCATCGCAGGACGATAACATCGCACACATGCGTTTTCAGGTTTTGAAAGATGCAAATGCATGTTCGTATAAAGATCATAGAGTTCAAGAAGTAAAGAGGGATTCTTTTACTTTTATATTTCATATATTTGAACGAACTAATAAATTTTTGCTGAAAAAATAAAAAGGAAACTTAAGCATTTAAAAACTTAAAATGAGTAGAAAATTAATGCAACTTAAAAAGCTTGATAGAATTTTAAATTTATATAGTTAATTAGCAAAGATCATTAATACATTAAGCTTTCTTTATAAAGTTTAACTGACAATTTTTCATTAAATGTACAGTCTAAAAATGCTTAGAAAAAAAAATGATAAATAACTGCATAAGGTTACCTCTACAAAAATTGCTTAGTTAATGATCAAATTATTTTCTTTCACATTTGTTGATCTGATATTGTTTTAATAAAAAATTATATATTGTTTTGTTTCCTTTTATTCTTAAAGTGTCGTTAACATTTTCATGTATAGCATGTTAGTTATGACGAAATTCAGTTACATAATATGTCACTATGCGATTTGAAAAACC